GGCTGACGGGGGGTGCACGGCGTAGGGGCCCCTCCCGGGGACACGGCTCCACCGCTCAGCTCGCCAGACGCCAGCAGCAGCTCAGCTGAGTCACCCGGGACTTTTCTGATCCGGGAGGTTGCAAAATAGTTTCCAGTAGCACAGCCCCCCTCCCCCCACCCAGCTCAGCCTCAGCCGGGCCTGAGTCAGGGCTAGCAACACGCTCTCCTCCGGGGGGGGCACAGCCGAGCCCCCACGGGGCAGAGACGAGGCACGTGATGCCCTTGCTGCCAGGCAAGCATTTTGGGGAGAAGGTCAAATGGGGTCTCTAGGGGATCCTGAGTGCGCGCCGCACCCCACTGCTGAGGCCCCATAGCAGCTCTCGGGGCGGAGGAGGGGGTGATCCAGGACCCAAGCTGGGCCCCAGCCAAAAGCATAGAAATGTGGGGGGGGGGTCCTGCTCCCTGTGCAGGGTCCAAGCGGCACTGGGGTCGGGCAGCCTCCCTGGCGCTGAACCACACCAAGGCATCGCCGGCTCCTGCCCGCTGCAAAGAGTTTCTGAAGCTGCCCCCAGCATGGGGGGCCAGGCAGAGGCATTGGGGCCGGCTCTCCCTGCCCGCTCCCCAGCGCAGGACTTGGCTCCAGGGCTCCCCCGCACCGCCCCCACTCAGGGAAGCCCTCTCCTCTCTCCTGCCACTGGGGCGCCACGCCCCGCCATGCACGCAATGGGAGAGGTGAGTGTGCCCAGGCCAACACCTGTCCCTTTAGAACTGGGCCCAGCTGGAGTGGAGCTCTCTGGGGGCACATCTGCACCGCAGCTGGAGATGTCACCCATGGGTAGCTATATACACAAGAACAGGCACCTCTGATCTGAGCCAGGAACGACCCCTCCACCTGCAGGGATGCCCCAAAGTAGGAATTTTCCAGACTATTTTTATGCCACCTGTGCGTGCCTCAGTTTCCCCTAGAGTTCATTTTGCTACCCAGCGGGCGGGGGAAGGACTTTTTGCTCCCAGGACAGGCTAAGAGACTGGCCTATGCTACAGAATAAGGCTGAAGTAGGCCACCTTGCATCCACCTAACACGGTCCGGCCTTCGGTGCAGCGTGGCTGGGCTCAGGCTGACCTGAACAGCCAACGCACTAACCTCCAGTTCTCTCTGCTGAGCAGGGGGCCACCCCAGGCTGGGGAACAGGTGACTAATACACCCGCCTGGTTTATCAAGGCTGCGTGTGTCCCTGCAAACGCTGGCTGAGGTGCATTAGTTTCGGAAGCCCAGCCCAGCTCCCTCAGGAGTCTGGACCCAGGCAGAAACATGAATGCTGGAGCCCCAGAGGCTCAACGGAAGGAGGCAGCGAGGCCCACCCCATGGGGTAACACTGAGACCCCTTGGGGGCAGGGCAAACTGAATTTCTCCTTCTAGAGTTAGTTCCAAAAGGGATGGGGCATGTGGGTTGTCCCCTCCCAGACTGGCCGGGAGGCTCCTGGAATCAGAATCCATCTCCCGGCTAGGGATGTGCAATTTCGATTCATTGGCTAATCGAATAGTCGATGCAATCTGCATCGACTATTTGATTAATCGATAAGGGCTCCTCCACCTTTGAAGTGCAGCAACCCGGGGCCAGCGAGGGACTCGAGCAGTCCCCCACTGACCCCGTGCTCCCTGCGGTGTTTCAAAGTGGCAGCGCCACATGGAACCCAAGGTCAGTGGGGGAGTCCCCAGCTGGCCCTGGCTCCACACTGCCACTTTGAAGCACCCCCTCTTCCTATTCCCCCTTACTGCCTTTTTCTGATGGAGGCAGCAAGGGGGGAGAGCAACAAGTCAACTAACATGTCGACTATCCGATAAGCATTTGCTTATCGAAGTGGTTCACATCCCTGCTCCCGGCAGCTACTGAAACCAACCCAGACTTAATAGCCTGCTAAGAGTCTGGGGTAAGGCAGCCTCCCGACCTGCCCTGATGTCGGAAGCAACCTGCAGTCTGGCTCCCAGGCCATCCCTACGCACTAGAACCAACTCTGCAGCTCCCATTGGCCGCGATCCGATAAGCATTTGCTTATCGAAGTGGTTCACATCCCTGCTCCCGGCAGCTACTGAAACCAACCCAGACTTAATAGCCTGCTAAGAGTCTGGGGTAAGGCAGCCTCCCGACCTGCCCTGATGTCGGAAGCAACCTGCAGTCTGGCTCCCAGGCCATCCCTACGCACTAGAACCAACTCTGCAGCTCCCATTGGCCGCGGAGCTGCCGAGCATCCACGCCCCCTCCCCCCATCCCAGGGGCACAGCCCTGCCCCGCCCCAGCGGGGGGCACGCAGAGGAACGTCCGACCCCCCGTGGGGCGTGCGGCTGTGACAGGGACGGGGCATACGTGGGCCCCACAGTGATGTGCCATCCCAGCACGCTGTGCGCCATGCCCAGCCCAGTGCAGCCCCGGGGGCCTGGGCCCCGGCGCGGGGGGCACGCAGAGGAACGTCCGACCCCCCGTGGGGCGTGCGGCTGTGACAGGGACGGGGCATACGTGGGCCCCACAGTGATGTGCCATCCCAGCACGCTGTGCGCCATGCCCAGCCCAGTGCAGCCCCGGGGGCCTGGACACCGGCGGTGCCGCCCCAGAGAGGGAGGGGGGCAAGGCAGCTC